GGAGGAGGAGGAGGAGGAGGAGGAGGAGGAGGAGGAGGAGGAGGGAGGAGGAGAGAGGAGGAGAGGAGGAGGAGATCGAGGATCAAGGGGCGTCCGCCGTCCGACGCGGCCGCGGCGGGCCCATGGAGGAGGAGGAGGAGGAGGAGGAGGAGGAGGAGGAGGAGGAGGAGAGGAGGAGGAAGAGGGAGGAGGAGGGAGGAGGAGGAGGAGGAGGAGGAGAAGGAGGAGGAGGAGGGAGGAGGAGGAGAGGAGGAGGAGGAGGAAGAGGGAGGAGGAGGAGGAGGAGGAGGAGGAGGAGGAGGAGGAGGAGGAGGAGGGCGAAAGAGGACGATAACAGCGGAGGGGTGGGCGAGGAGGATCGAACGGATCGCTCCCGAGGCCTCGCCTGGAGTTCGGGATTCGGGGCCATCCCGATGCCCCCGAAGGCATCCGTGGGGCCCGGCGGAAGAAGCCTCTGCGTGGGGTCCCCGGTGAACAGGAGAAAAGAACCAACACATTTGAACCCCTCAATCCTCGATCCTCCCCCTCCTTCTCCTCTTCCTCCTCCTCCTCCTCCTCCTCTCCGAGAGGGATCTACAAGAAAGACACTTGGCGCCACGATAAATTCAATGGTGGGACCCCAGGCCTCTCGACCCTTGCCCGCACGGCTGCTTTCGTCCGTCCCGAGCCGTCTTTGTTGATGGTCCTGGGGTCCGAAGCCGGCACCTAGGGGCCAAGAAGAGAGAGATGGCACGCCCGAGATGGGGGGAACCATGGGTACGGTGCCCAGATGCCCAGTAGCAAATGTTGACCCAATGGGGCTTCAAGCAGACAACGCCTTCGGCGACGCCGACAGCGCGCCCTGTTCAAATGGACAAGGACTGCTGTCGGTCTTCGTCCCCATTGACCCCCATTGTTCTCGTACCCAGTCCGATCGCACCGAGTGACAAACTGGCCGCCTCGATCTTGTTCGAAGCGCTGGAGGCGCCTTAAGAGCGGCGACAAGAAACGGATCTTACGCACCGTGACACGACTAGGGACCCTCCGCGGTGGCGGACGCGGGCCGCCAACGCGGCACACACTACCTTCGAAACGGCAGTGCTCACGCGCGACCTCTCGCGGGCAGCGCTTCGTTTACACGACGCGGGCGGCTCGCGCGCGAATGTCGGCCCACTCTCGGGGAGACGTAAGACTCGGGCACATGGGACTCGGATTGGCCTGACGGGGCCATCATAAAAACCGACGAGACCCAATCTGAAACTTGACGCGAGCTCCCGCTGCAAACATCCCACGGAAACGGGACCGTCAGAATCCATGGCACGCTCGTCAAAAAACGTCGGCAAACCCGAGTTCCGGCTTACTCGAGCCTTACGGTTCCCCGACAATCGACCCCGATCTCCCGCGCCGCTCACATGCCCGGGAAGCCGCCTCCCCCTTGGGGGGCCGCAGCCGTGCCGCAGCTCGGCTCGCGGGCGGCAGGGGAGGGCAGGCCAGCTCGCCGCTCGCTGCGCAAAGTCACCTCGGGGGGTGCGATCACGAGCGGCGAGCGTCTCCACGTCCACGCCCTCGCGGTCTGGCTTCGGCCACGCCCCAGAAATGATCTCGAGAACCCAGAAGAGTGTCGAAACAAGGTCGACAGAACAGCGCCTCCCAGGGCCCGACACGTGGAACCTCTCCCCTGCCGGTACCTCCCTGGTGCTCGAAGCTCTTCCGGGGGATCGAGGCGAAAAGCATAGGCTGGAACATCGCAGGGCGGGGCGCGGGCCCGTGGGCACGCGGCCGCCGTGGTCTGCTCCGCGCGGGCGCCCCGCAGCTGCGGCACAGTGGGGCCTGGCCCGCGAGGCCGTGGATGCGGATACTCAGAGCGTGAATTACCTCCCCCGCTTTCGCTTCCAGGCAAAACCAAGCCATACCACGCGCCTCCTCGTCAAGCGGCCTGACCAGTACAGGCCGCAATTTGGCATGGTTTGGTATCCCTTGGAAGCGAGGGTGGTCAAAAGCGAGGTAGGTTTGTTTTCCCCCGAGATACGTTCTGCGCCCACGGTGCAGGGCAGTGCGCGCGGGCCTGGGAGGCAGCGCGCACCGAGCAGCCGAGGGCAGGAGCGCGTGCCTTGACGATGCCCCAGTCCTCGCTCAGCGGGTCGTCGTCTGGGCTCGGGCCGGCAGGTGCGTCGGGGGCCTCCTCCACGGAGTCGCTGACGGCGATGGCGAGGACGCCGTCCTGCGAGCGGGGGCCCGCGGTGGGAAGGAGACGACGTCGTCGTCGTCGTTTGTACCCGACTTATGCGATTTCTGCGACTACGACCGTGGTATTGTTATAATCCGCGTCAGCACGCTCCTGATCTATCTGGCCCCTGGTCAGCCGAAGCAAGGAGGCTCGGCTGAGGCGTGCCCTGATGAGAGCAGAACTTGTGATTTTGCGGTCGCTGTCTCTCTTTTTTTTTCTGTGGTGCGTCTTTGCCATATTGGTTTCCTGCCTTAGGCGCCTCTTTGCTTGATTTCTCGTTGCCGCAAGCTTATATACTCCTTCCTTTGCCCGTGGTGCTCTGCCTTGCTAGCAACCTCGCTATATATTCATCCCCGTCAGCAAGAACAGTGTGAACACGAATGCCTGCTACGCGAGCCGTATCAGACTCTTGACTGCGGCTTCGCGGAGTAGGAGTCCTGCTTGAGCGGGCCGAGGACGAGGACGGGACGAGAGGCGCATGTCCCGAAACCGGTCCGCTACGCGCAAAGAGTGACCCCAGGCAACAGGTGTCAAGAGTGCCCTTTGGTGCGAGGCCTGCCGACCGTGGCACTGCGACGTGACACGTGGAGGCCTGCATGCTCGGGATTGCCCCCCCCCTCCCCCCTTGGCGCCCCGAAAGCTGCGCACCCGAGGTCACTTTGGCGAAGGGTCGCGCCCCCAGGTAGTCCGAGCTGGCTCCAACAGGCCCCCCGAGTAGTCCCAGCTGACCTCACAGAAGCCCCCCAAGTAGTTAGGGGTGGCCTCAACACCTCAACCCTGGGGCGCGGAGCCCCCCAGGTGCGCCGTCGCAGGCGGCGCCCGGGTGTTCAGACCGCTCCGGACTGTTCGGAAGGGCCTGTTTGAGGCCAGCTGGGACTACCTGGGAGGGAAATCTGTGCGCAACCCGGAGCCTTACCAGGTCACTCCGCTTCACGGGTCCAGGACGATTCGGGCACCCTCGGAACGCCCTCGGCGATGCGCAGCTGCGGGAACGCACCCCGAGGCTAGAGAGCCGCCAGGAAGCGAAGAGGACGTAGTTTTAGGTCGGGCGTGTCCTCCTACAGGCGGATTGTCGAAGACATTCTTGAATATTCCTCCTGTAGAGGGACATGCCCGACTTACACGTAGATGCGTACAGCCGACTCCCGAGGACGAGAGCACGGAGGGACGGTGCGCGGGGCACTCTGGCGAAGGGGCGATTCTTGCGTCGAGGCGCCCTGGGGGCGGGGCAGGAGGAGGGAGCATGGAGCTTGGCTTGGCATGCCTCCGAAGATGAGCGGCAACGATAGGGGGGGACTGGCAAAGGGGGGGATGCATCGACCTGGAATTCGGCGACACATCGCCGATAGATCGGCGAGAGGCCTCCGATCGTGAATCCGCACATTCCTGGGCAGGTTGGGAGGTTAGGGCTACCGGGCCCCTATCGGCGATCAATGAGCGATTAAGGGTCGATGCATGCCCCCCTGCGCCTATCCCCCCTCATCGTTGCCCCTGAGAAGAGGCAGGCCATGAAAGGAAAACAGCACCAGCCGAAAGGTTCTGCCACATCCCGCATGCATGAAGCCAGGGGGCAAGGGCAGGCCAGAGGAGGGAAGCGGCACGACCACCCGCTCGAACATGGATGGCACGGCACAAGCAGCCCCCAAGGGGCGAGAGGCCCCCCACCGCGCCAGGACCGCCTGTCGCTGACCCCAAGCCGCCAGCCAGCCCACACCAAACAACCATCCATTGGGTGGGCCTCACTTGGCGGCGCGCACACGGGGGTGGAGGGAGGGGGGAGGGCTTCATAGAAGGCGGCTGCTTCTTAGAAAGCGCTGGCCCTGCATCTATAGATAAGGCCCGCGCCTTCTAAGAAGCAGGGATGCTCCTATAGATGACGAAAAAGCCATATAAACATAAACTTTCGGCGCTCCGCGCGGATTTCTTGGACCTGCGCTGCTCCCCTCCCTGGTGCGCGGAGCGCGCTAGGGGCGGCGCCGGAGGCGCCGCTGGGGGAGGGGGGGCCCAGCGGGGATCGAAGAAATCCGCGCGGAGCGCCAAAAGTTTGTGTTTATGGCGTTTTCTCTTCTTCGATTCAAGAAAGCCCCCCCCCCCTCCCCCCCCGCCCCCCTTCTGCGCGTGGCTGACTGACCCCGGCGGATTTTGCGCGAAAAACTCAAAATATACAAAAAAAATGCACCAACATTGCCACAAATGGTCCAACAATCGCCCCCAGACTTCCGGAGGCGGCCTCGTTTTACTTCCGCCGACCTTCCGCCGCCTTCCGCGGCGGAAGAGATGACAACTTTTTCTATCCTAGAGGGCAAGGCCTTTCTTTGGAACGCCTCATGTGTTGTTTTCCCATGCGCGGCCACAGGAGGTCCCGAAAACTTCCCCAGATGCGAGCGTTCGTCCCAGATCCATGCTTGATGGCCACGGGGCCCGGTAACGGCCACCAATTGCCGAAATCGACAAAGAAAGCGCGGGGAAGTAGGACTCTCGCATCGCCGGAGATCTGTGGGGAAACCAAAAGGTACCGATACCGCTACTCCCCGGACCTCTCCTGGGGTGCGTTCTGACCAGGCTATCGAGGCGAATCCAGCGGTGGCGACGAGGCTTTCCCAGGAGGGGAAATTTGGTGAAGGGCAGCGGCATGGGTACCTGTTCCTCCTCTGGACATCGTCGGAGATCTTGGGGAGGAGGGCGACGAGGCAGCGACGAGGAGGGTCTTGAAAGGACGGGGCCGCCGCCTGCTCTTTCGCCCTCGGCGCCCCGGCGGGGAGGCGCTCAGTCGCTCAGTGCGCGGGGGCGGCCGCTACGTGGCGGAGCGCGTCGGCCTCCGCGGGTAGGACTCGAACGCCACCAGCGACTTCGGGAAGAGCTCGCAGAAGGGCACGAACTCGTCCTGATGGGCCAAGTTTCCATCACCGCTGTCATGGGTAGGAGCGGGAGGAGGTGGAGGAGGAGGAGGAGGAGGAGGAGGAGGAGGCGGAGGAGGCGGAGGAGGAGGAGAAGGAGGAGGAGGAGAAGGAGGCTGAGCTGCGGAGAATGAGGAGGGGGAGGAGGAGGAGGAGGAGGAGGAGGAGGAGGAGGAGGAGGAGAAGGGATAGGCGGCGAGCGAAGGGGGGAAATGAGAAAGAGAAGGCCTTCTCAGGAGGCCGCGGGGCTTCGCTGAATGCCTCTGGCAGTCTAAAAGGTTTTCTGTGTCCCAGAGATGATGAGAAGGCCCGTCCCTTCTCATTTTCCCCCCTCGCTCGCCGCCGAGAAAGGCACGAACCCGTCCGTGGGCGCGCAGCGCATCCGCAGGTTCGGCTGAAAGTAGCCCTTCTGGTGCCAATGCCGCATCTCGCTGAGGTTGAATGGCCCTTGCACCTTTCGCGTGCCACTCCTCCTCCTCCTCCTCCTCCTCCTCCTCCTCCTCCTCCTCCTCCTCCTCCTCCTCCTCTTCTCCTCCTCGTCCTCCTCCTCCTCCTCCTCCTTTCTCCTCCTCGTCCTCCTCCTCCTCCTCCTCCTCCACCTCCTCCTCCCTCCTATTCCTCCCCACCCTCTCCGATCCCATCCACCCCGGACACCATTTCTCCATCTTGTTTGCCATCGGCGTCTACATCTTCATCATCCTCTAACATCGCCGACTACGATCACTCGGGCTCCAACCGCGTCGACTCCACCGTCGAGAGCACGATCTGGCTTCGGACTCCGCACGTCTTCCGCGACAGAGAGACTATCATCATGCCGACTCCTGCTCTCAACCCCAGCTCCGAACACCCCAGTTCCGACGGTGTGGAGCGGCCGCCTATGGAACAACTTTCTCCCCACTCTTTTTCCTATGCAGGTGATGCGTTGGATTTGGGCAAAGCTACCGGTTCTGACAGTATCCCAGCGACCAGCTCTTCCGGGACAGGCTTTGGAGGTGGTGACCGTGCGCTCGAGGCTATCGACCTCAAGCTTACACCAGCACAACACTCCGACCTCCACCCTCCATCATCCGACTCTCCACCTCCACCTCCAACCTTCGTCCTACAGCCTCCATCAGTTCACTCTGACCCTCAACGTCCAGCTTTCGACTCTCCACTCCCACCTCCACCTATCGACCTACAACTTCCACCAGTTCATTCTGACCCTCAACATCCAGCTTTCGACTCTCCACTCCCACCTCCGCCCATCGACCGACAGCTTTCACCAGTTCACTCCGACCCTCAACGTCCAGCTTCCGACTCTCCACTCCCACCTCCACCTATCGACCTACATTTTACACCAGTGCACTCCGACCCTCAACGTCAAGCTTCCGACTCTCCACTCCCACCTCCACCCATCGACCTACATATTCCACCAGTTCATTCTGACCCTCAACGTCCAGCTTTCGACTCTCCACTCCCACCTCCACCCATCGACCTACAGCTCCCACCAGTTTACTCCGACCCTCAACATTTAGCTTTCGACTCTCCACTCCCACCTCCACCTATCGACCTACAGCTTCCACCAGTTCACTCTGACCCTGCACATCCAGCTTTCGACTCTCCACTCCCACTTCCACCTGTCGACCGACAGCTCCCACCAGTTCACTCCGACCCTCAAGGTCCACTTTCCGACTCTCCACCCCCACCTCCACCTATCGACCTACAGCTTCCACCAGTTCACTCTGACCCTCAACATCCAGCTTTCGACTCTCCACTCCCACCTCCACCTATCGACCTACAGCTTCCACCAGTTCACTCTGACCCTGCACATCCAGCTTTCGACTCTCCACTCCCACTTCCACCTGTCGACCGACAGCTCCCACCAGTTCACTCCGACCCTCAAGGTCCACTTTCCGACTCTCCACCCCCACCTCCACCTATCGACCTACAGCTTCCACCAGTTCACTCTGACCCTCAACATCCAGCTTTCGACTCTCCACTCCCACCTCCACCTATCGACCTACAGCTTCCACCAGTGCACTCTGACCCTCAACGACCAGCTTTCGACTCTCCACTCCCACCTCCACCTATTGACCTCCAGCTCCCAGCAGCTCAACACGCTGACCTCCAGCCTTCAACAACCAGCCGTACAACGTCTCGCGCAGCCCAAACAAACGTCTTACCCAACAGTGGGGAAGGTCGAAGAGGAAGAGGAGGAGGAAGACGTGCCTACAGCGACGTTTCTGGCGACGTCCCAGCATGCATCTTGCGCCGGCGATGCACGACACCGGCATCCAGGTTGGAAAGTTCCGACTCCAGCTCTACTGCCGGACTGACAGTGCGAGAAGAGCAAAGACAGCTTCAACAAGATCTCGGAAACCAATGCGCCGACTCCAGTCGCTTCCAGTTCACCGTCATCCACAAAAACGCGAGAAGCCTCTCCACAGACGACTCCATCGACACGCTGATTTGCGAATTGGAGACCGTGGCATGGGACATCGTGGCAATAAATGAAACTTGGAGGGCGACAGAACGAGAGATGTGGACAACGAAGTTGGGTTCCCACGTATTTGCGGCAGCGGGCCACACCACCTCATCAAGAGGCGTAGCATTTCTTATCCACCGACGGCACGTGCACAGCATCACATGCTTCACACGCATCAACGAGCGCATCGCCTACATCGACCTCGACACATCCGCCTGCAAGGTGAGAGTTGCGACGGCTTATTTCCCACACTGCGGGTACCCCGACGCTCACGTCCAGCAGATGTACGACGTCCTGACCGCGCTCCACGACGAAGCCGCCAAGCAGAAGCGCACCACAATCATCACTGGAGACTTCAACGCACAGGTTGGCAAACATCCCATCAGCGCGGACGAGGAAGAGAATACCAACAGAGGCCGGAGACTCACAGTTGGCCCACACGGAATCGGAGCGTGCAACACACGTGGGACGTGGCTACGAGCATGGGCAACTTCACAGAAGATGATTATCACCAACACGTTGTTCTACAAGCATGATCGCAACGTCTTCACTTACACCAGCAGTGGGGAAAACCATACCCAAACACAGATTGACTACATACTCATCGACAAAGATCGTCGCAACCAGGTGCATGACTCGTTTGCAACAGCTATTCCAGACCTCGGGTCCGACCACCAAGAAGAAGCAGAAGAAGCGAACAAAACGATCCAATCATCGGTCTACGCGCCCACCTGCTGCCGATCCACTGTGCCAACACTACCTACAGCACAGACTCGACGCCCACGACGTCGCAGCCAGCACTGACGACAGGAGCAATCACATCACCAAAGCCCTTGCCCAAGCTCACGGCGACTACCATGAGTACCACGACAGTTCACCGCGACACCAAGCACACGAAGACGACGTCACATCAAACAATAAGCTGCGCGACCTCATTGACCGACGGCGCAGCACACCGCATGCCGACACAACCACCAGGAGTACACCGAGCAAACTCATTTTGAAACAGCTTCGAACCATCAAGCGTGTCCGGGAAAACGCCAGGATTAAAACCATTGTGTGCCAGTTCAAAAACCTCAAGAGAATCGCGGGCACGAAAACGTCCAAGGAAAAAGACATGATCGCGTCAATGACAACCACAGACGGCGACGAAACAACTGGCAGACAGAGCATCGCAGACGTCTTCGCCACCTTTTACGAGCAACTCTATAAAACACCGCAGGACGACAGCGAGACTTCTAGCAACACCGACACGGCAACAGACTCGAGCATACCACCACTCACACCAAAAGAGCTTCGACGTGCAATCAAGCAACTGAAAGACGGCAAGTGCAGCGACACTGCAAGACTCACAGCCGAACTTCTCAAAGCGGGAGGAACCGCCATTGAATCACACTTACTTCAGCTTTACAACGACATTATCAAGCCAAACCGCCCACCACCCACACAATGGAAGAGAACGACGATCACGGTGATATGCAAATCTGGGGACCCCAAGCTACCGCAAAACTACAGACCGATCGCCATCATCCCACTGCTGTACAAACTCATGTCCCGCCTCCTCTGCAATCGACTAGAAGCCACATTTGACGCACAACAGAGCCCTGACCAGGCTGGCTTCCGGCGAGGCTTCAGCACGGATGACCACCTCTTCACGATGGCAACGTTGCACGAGCAATCACACTGTTGGCAGTTACCGCTCTGGGCGGCAGCAATCGACTTCAAGAAGGCGTTCGACTGCGTGGACCACAAGCACTTATGGGACGCTCTACGACAGCAACATATTCTCGAAGCGTACATCACCCTCATTCAGCACATGTACAATGATCAGACGGCCACTGTCCGCACTGACACCTCCAGTCGCAGTTTTAGCATACAGCGGGGTGTGAAGCAGGGAGATCCGCTCAGTTCCTTCCTGTTCAATGCGCTGCTGGAGCATCTCTTCCGACAAATCAAGCCCGGCTGGCAACGCAAAAAGTTTGGCATCAAGCTAGGCTTTGCGCTTTGCTCAAGAAGCAAACATCACGAACCTACGCTTCGCAGACGACGTTTTGCTGTACGCCCCGAACCTTCGCCAACTTACATGCTTATTGCGCGACTTGAAGAACAGAGCGTCCTGCTGTGGACTATCACTTCATCCCGACAAGACCAAGATTCTCACCAACGTCAGCCGGAGGGCTGGCAGAACAATTACGCACATCGTCTTAGATGGCGCACGCATAGACATTCTACCCAACGACCAGAGTACTAAGTATTTGGGCGAAAAGTTATCGTTCCACGACTTCCACGGACATGAGCTGAAAAACAGGATCGCCGCGGGATGGTCGAAGTTTCACACACTACGGTGTGAACTTACCAACAGAAAGCTCCCATTGCACAGCAGACTCCGACTCTTCAGCGGCACGATCACACCATGCGTTATGTACGGTTGCTCTTCGTGAACACTCACCAAGGATATGCTCATCACGCTACAACGAACACAATGGAAAATGCTCCGACTGATCATCAATGCGCCGAGAAGACGGAACACGCTGGAAGCAAGCAGACAGACAGCACGCGCCAGCTGCAACACCAACAACGGCACACGTGTCGACGTCAACGACACCGAATCCAGCACCGACACCAGGACCGACAACAACACCGAACGGCGACGACGACGACGACACCAGCACCAGCACCAGCACCAGCACCGACCACAGCACCAGCACCAACACCGAACACAGCACCAGCACCAGCACCAGCACCAATCGAAAACAGCGCCAACACCGACAATAGCACCTGCACCGACAACAGCACCAACACTGACAGCACCAGCACCAACACCGACACCGACACCAGCACCGACAACAGCAACCGACGGAGACAACAACGATGGATCTGAGTCCTGGGTTCACTTCATACGGAGAAGTACCTCCACCGCTTTGGCACACGCCAAACGAGCACGAGTCGACGATTGGACCGACGTATACTTCATGCGAAAATGGGCGTTCGCAGCACGTGTGGCCAACCACGATCACGACAGATGGACGCGACTGAGTGCAAGTTGGGACCCATGTACACACGACCTACACCCAGCCTTTCGCCGACATGGCGGGCAAAAGAAGCTTTGGCATGATGACATTGTATCTTATCTACATGACGTGGTCGACACCGACAACGATTGCAAATGGTGGGTGTTGGCCCAGAACCTACCATGGTGGAAGACTCGTGAAGAAGGCTTCTTCGACTACATGCGTCGCTTCCTCCACTCCGGCAACTACAACGAATGAACTTTCTGGCGCTCCGGCGCCCCCGCCGGGCTCTCATAGGGCCGTCCTTCCGGGACGTTTTCCGGCGCTCTGCTCTGCTCTGCTCTGCTCCTCCTCCTCCTCCTCCTCTTTCTCCTCCTCGTCCTCCTCCTCCTCCTCCTCCTCTTTCTCCTCCTCGTCCTCCTCCTCCTCCTCCTCCACCTCCTCCTCCCTCCTATTCCTCCCCACCCTCTCCGATCCCATCCACCACCCACCCTGCAACGTTGCAATTTCTCCTCGCCACCTGAAGATGCTGTCTGCTCCACTCTGGGATGTCAATCCTCTAGTTCCGGAGTGAGGAAGGGCTGATCGACAGGGGGTTTCATCTAGCTATCAACCACTAGTAGCAGGCTACGGGCTCGGGTTGCTCCCAGGCGAAGGGTGTCCCCAATTTGACAGCGCCGATGTCAACCCAGAAGGACTGTCGAATGGCGGCCTGCTCGTAGACCTGGCAGACTAGTCAGTGATCCTCCTCCTGCTGCTCATTGCTCCCTTTGCTCTGCTTCTGCTCCTGCTGTCTTGACCGCCCGCCTCTGGCTTTCTTGACGGGCTGACGCCTCCAGACACTCCCTCTGCTGCCCTGCCTCTCCTCCTCCTCCCTCCTCCTCCTCCTCATGTTCCTCCTCCGCCCTCCTCCTCCGCCTCCTCCTCTTCCTCCTCCTCCTCCGCCTTCTCCTCCTCTTCCCCCGCCTCCTCCTTCTCCTCCTCCTCCTCCTCCTCCTCTTTCTGCTCCTCCTCCTTCTGCTCCTCCTCCTCCTCTTGCTCCTTCTGGTCCTCCTCCTCCTCCTCCGCCTCCTGCTCCCCCTCGGCGTCTCCATCCTCGCTCTCTCCTTCTCCTCCTTTTCCTTCTCGTCCTCCATTCTCTTTCCTCATAAATCTTTCTCCTTGTCAAGGCCAGTTTTTAAGGCGGGCCGGGCGTTTCGCCTGAGACCTCCTCACCATTTATGACCCGATGACCCAGAAGCTTAAAACATTCGCAACAGCTTTGCAGATGGAGGGCGAGTGGTTTTCAAAATGTGGCTCTCGCCTCAGCGCCGCGCACACTCGTTTTGAACATTTGCTACAATTCCGCGGGTTGAGAAGAACTGACTTTCAAAATGTGGCTTTCGCCTTAGCGCCTCGCGTATTCGTTTAAAGATATTGCAAGAGTTTCGCATCTTGGAGGCGGTTCCCTTTCAGCATGTGGCTCTCGCCTTAGCGCCGCGCACGTTCTACACCTTTGCAAGCACATCGAGGGCGGTTCCTTTTCAAAATGTGGCTCTCGCATCAGCGCCGCGCACACTCGTTGTGAAAACTTGCAAGAGCTTCACGGAAGGAGGTCGATTCCTTTTCAAAATGTGACTCGCCTTGGCGCCGCGCACATTCGTTTCGAAAAATGGAAGCAGTTTCACGGATTGAGGTCGTGGCGTTTTCAAGATGTAGCTCTCGCCTTAGTGCCGCGTGCATTCGTTTACACATGTGTTCAAGTTTCACGGATTGAGGGCGGTTCCATTTCAAAATGTGGCTCTCGCCTGAGCGCCGCGCACATTCGTTTGACAAAGGTGAAAGAGCTTCACGGATTGAGGGCGGTTCATTTTCAAAATGTGGCTCTCGCCTTCGCGCCGCGCGCATTCGTTTTACACATTTGCAACCAGGAGCGGCGTTCTGGCACGATTCAGGTTCGTCAAGACGCAACCGTCTGGTTGATCCGTTGCGTTGGAATCCCGAGAACAATGTTTTGGCATGCTTCAGAATCTTCAGACGGCTGTCGTCCGACGAGGCATTTCCCTCGGTGGAGATGAACGGTTGTAGGAGCCTATGAAGAGGGAGCCCGGAGGGAGGGTTTATTCCAACATCTGGGATGACTCTCGGGTTTACACTGGTCCTCCTCCTCCTCCTCCGCCTCCTCCTCCTCCTACTCCTCCTCCTCCTCCTCCTCCTCCCCTGCTCCGCCCCGGCTTTCTTCACTGAGGACGGGAATGATGTCAGATTGGCTCTTGATACGTTTTGGATTTCCAGATTATCCAGCGGCCCTCGTTTCTGAAGCCCCCGCGAAACGTCAGAAGTCATGCCAATCCTGGAACTCCTGGAACTTATCACTATCATGACCTTGTGCTCCTCTGATCACTGACTGGGGACGCCAGGGTCCTCCCCCGGAACCCGCTCCTCATCCCGAGTGGTTTTCTGACCCCCTCGGCATTTCCGCGCGCTTCGACTCCCCCCGTGCCTGCATCCCACGGCTGCCCCCGAACGCCGTGAGGGCTCTCACCGCTGCGACCGAGAAGCTTCCCTCGGGGCCCGTGTGATTCATACAGCGGCAGCTGAGCCTGCGGCGTGCTCACGGGGGCCACGGAGCCCTGCACTTCTTTCTGCGCGGGCGCTCGCAGGTGAGCGAGAGAGGAGCACGCACGCTTCGTGTTGGGCTCGCGGGAGGGGAAAAGGGTGGCTTGGGCGGCAGGGTGCGCCAGTGAAGAAGAACGAAGGAAGGCGAGGAGGAGGAGGGGGGAAAAAGGAGGGGAGGAGGACGAGGAGGAGGAGGAGGAGGCCAGGAGGAGGAGCAGGAGGAGGCCAGGAGGAGGAGGAGGCCAGGAAGAGGAGGAGGATGCCAGGAGGAGGAGGAGGCCAGGAAGAGGAGGAGGAAAGAAGAGGGAGGGGGGAGGAACCGGAGGGGGAGAAGGAGAAGAAGGCGGAGGGGACGAGGGAGGGAGGAAAGGCGCATGTGAGGGGGAGAGGGAGGAAGAGAGGGGAGGAGGGCGACGATGATGAGAAGAGAGGGCTGCGGGCTCAGCCAACCCTGAGCAAGAGCGATCGGGAGCGCAGGGAGACGCAGCAGGGCGCGCCTTGCTGTACGGGTCGACGTACTGCCAGCCGTCCGCGGGGCACTCGGCCTGGTGCCGCGCGACCGCCGGCCGGTTCTTGCGTCCTCCGCTCCGCGTCCTTCCCTGCTCCCTCAATTCCTCCTCCTGCCTCTCCCTCTGCGCGGCTCTCTCCTCCTCCTCCTCCGCCTCCTCCTCCTCCTCCTCCTCCTCCTCCTCCTCCTCCTCCTCCTCCTCCTCCTCCTCCCCCCGCCCTCCTCCTGGAGAAGGGCAGCCGCTCTGGCCCAGGCCACGGCCCGCCGAGAGCGCGGCCACCCTCGCACCCCTGCGGGCGAACCTGGGCCTTCTGGGAGGTCCCACGCCGGGCCCAAAACTCCGCTCAAAGTCGGCTCCCGAGGAGGAGGAGGAGGAGGAGGAGGAGGAGGAGGAGGAGGAGGAGGAGGAGGAGGAGGACGAGGAGGAGGAGGAGGAGGAGGAGGAGGAGGAGGAGGAGGAGAGAGAGGAGGAGGAGGAGGAGGAGGAGGAGGACTCCTCCCGGGGTCCATCCCGATGCGGTGTTCGGAGCGAGCCCCGCCGTGGCGACGAGGGGCGCCTCCAGGAGGCCGAGCAACGAGAGGGCGCCAGGGATGGCTGCCGTTGCCCAGCCTGGCCCGCGCTTCGAGGCGGAGGCAGCCGTGGTGACGAGGAGGCCTCCAGTCAGGGGGACGTAAGACCTGGGTACAGGGGACTCGGAAATCCCCGACGAGGTCGTCAAAAAAATGACGAGGCCGAGCCTGCATTTTGACGAGGCCTCCCGCTGCAGACATCCCACGAAACTCCTCCTCGTCAAAATCCGAGGCGCGGTCGTCAAAAAACGATGGCGAACCCGAGTCCTGGCAAACCCGGGTCTTACGCTCCCCCGATCCAGGAGGCCCCAGGCACAACGAAACCCGCCAGGGAGGGCCGCCGTGGCCCCGACCGGCCCTCTCCCTCCGATCTCTCGCCATCGCTCGGACGTCCATGCCCCATGCTCTTCTCGGCTTCGAGCGCGTTTGTTCCCGACCATCCTATGGTGTTGGGTCCTCGTTTTGAAGAGACCGCGCCCCGCGTCTCCTCCTTCCTCCTCTCCGTCCTCCTCCCTCTCCCTCCTCCCATCCCTTGCCTCTGCCCTCAGCATGTCCTCATGATCGTCATCATCATCATCATCATCATCATCATCATCATCATCATCATCATCATCATCATCAGCAGCAGCAGCAGCAGCAGCAGCAGCATCATCATCATCATCATCATCATCATCAGCATCATCATCATCATCATCATAATCATCATCCTCAGCATCACCATCATCATCAGCATCCTCATCATCATCCTCATCATCATCCTCATTATCACCATCATCTCATCATCATCATCATCATCATCATCAGCATCATCATCACATCATCATCATCACCATCACCACCATCACCATCACCATCACCATCACATCATCATCATCATCATCATCATCATCATCATCATCATCATCATCATCATCATCATCATCATCATCATCATCATCATCGTCATCGTCATCGTCATCGTCATCGTCATCGTCATCGTCATCGTCATCGTCATCGCCGCCATCATCACCATCATCGTCACACCCAGTACAACGCTTCGTGGCCCCATAAGGAGCTCCACAGAAGGTCCCAATGGCGCAGTTCGCATGCGTCTCCCCGGCTCCCCCACCCAGTATAGCGCTTCGTGGCCCCATAGGGAGCTCCAGGGAAGGTCCCCGTGGCGCTGTTCGCATGCGTCTCCCCCACCCAGTACAGCGCTTCGTGGCCCCATAAGGAGCTCCACCGATAGGGAGCTCCACCAAAGGTACCAGTGGCGCAGTTCGCATGCGTCTCCCCCACCCAGAACAGCGCTTCGTGGCCCCATAAGGAGCTCCACCGAAGGTTCCAAGAGGCGCAGTTCGCATGCGTCTCTCCCATTCGCTACAGCATTTCGTGGCCCCATAGGGAGCTCCACCGAAGGCCCTAGTGGCGGTGTCCACATTCGTGTCCCCCACCCAGCACAACGTTCCGTGGCCCCATAGGGAGCTCCACCGAAGGCCCCAATGGCGGTGTCCACATTCGTCTCCCCCACCCAGCACAGCGTTCCGTGGCCCCGTAGAGAGCTCCACCGAGGGTCTCAGTGGCGCAGTTCGCATGCGTCTCACCCACCCGGTGCATCGCTTCGCGGCCCCATGGGGAGCTCCACCGAAGGTCTCAATGGCGCAGCCCGCATGCGTCTCCCACACCCAGAACAACGCTTCGTGGCCCCATGGGGAGCTCCACCACAAGCCCCAGTGGCGCAGCCCGCACGCGTCTCCTACACGCAGTGCAGCGCTTCGTGGCCCCATAGGGAGCTCCACCAAAGGTCCCAGTGGCGCAGTTCGCATGCGTCTCCCCCACCCAGCACTGCGCTTCGGGGCCCCATAGGGAGCTCCACCTAAGGCCTCAGTGGCGGTGTCCACATTCGTCTCCCCAGTGGCGCTTCGTGGCCCAGTAGAAAGCTCCACCGAAGGCCCCAGTGGCGGTGTCCTCGCGCGCCTTTCCCACCCAGCACAGCGTGTCGTGGCCCCATACGGAAGCTCCACCGAAGGCCCTAGTGGCGGTGTCCAGCACAGCGCTCCGTGGCCCCATAGGGAGCTCCAGCGAAGGCCCCAGTGACGGTGTCCACATTCGTCTCCCCACCCAGTAGAGCGCTTCGTGGCCCCATAGGGAGCTCCAACGAAGGCCCTAGTGGCGGTGTCCACATTCGTCTCCCCCACTCGGCGCGGCCTTCCGTGGCCTCTTAGGGAGCTCCACCGAAAGCCCAAGTGGAACAGTTGACATGCGTCTCCCCCGCCCAGTGCAGCGCTTCGTGGCCCCATAGGGTGCTCCTCCGAAGGCCCCAGTGCATCACCCCCGCTAAGCACAGCGTTTCGTGGCCCATAGGGAGCTCCACCGAACACGATACCAACAACTGCGGTACTCACAACTGCATATGGTTAAGTCTTTCGCCAGGCTGATTCTCATTTTTGCTCAATGATCCAGGATGCTCCTCGATTGAGGGGCAACGACAGGGGGGGATAGGCATAGGGCGGGAAACATCGACCTGGAATCGGCGATACATCGCCGATAGATCGGCGATAGGCCCCCGATAGTGAGCCCGCACGTTCCTGGGCTGGATGGGGTTATCGGGCCCCTATGCGTCCCCCCCCAGCCCTATCCCCTCCCCTATCATTGCCGGTCCTCGCCGCAAAACCAATCTCGCACGCTCATGGCGCCTCCCGCCCTCCTCGCTGCGCCGCCGCCCCGCCTCAGGCGGGGCAGCGCGGAGGGTACGCGAGAGAGCCGGGCACGAGCGCAGCAGCACCGCGACGAAGCCGGGACAGGCACGGCATTAGACTCTGCGAGCTGCCCCCGATAGCGACTCCGCATGCTCCTGGGCGGGGCGGGCCATCGGGCCCCTACTGCCTGTGATGCAAGGCCGACTGCGGGTCGATGCGTGCCCCCCTGAGCCCACCTTCCACCTCACGCTGCCCGTAATTTTGGAGTCCCGAAACGGTGCGGTGACAGACCGTGCGGTGACCTCGAAATCCCCCAAAGTTCTCACCGCACGGTGCGTCAACGCACGGTTTCGGGACCTCGGAGGCCCCAGTCGCCCGAGACATCCTCGGAGAACGACCCGAGTCCCAAAACCGTGCGGTGACCCCGAATCCCCACCGACTCACCACACGGTGTGGTCACCACCCCGTTTGGGGGCCCCCCAGTGTAACTCGGCTCTCCGGCGGCCGCTTGGGAGGCTCCGGGCACCACTGCAACTCTTTCGGCGAGGCGCAGCCGTTGGAACGCACCCTCCAGCTCGGAGGCCACCGAGAAGCGACGAAGGCGTCAGAACAAAAGCACAACCTGAGCCTCGAACGCCCCCTGAGCCTACCCCCCTAACGTTACCCCTGGCTGCCCTCCTCGCAGCGCCGCCGCCCTTGCCCGCGGTGCCGCGACAGCTCGTGCACTGGGAGAGAGCACCGATCGCTGCAGCTCTGGGTTCGGCTCGCCCCACGATCGATCGGGGCAGCGCGGCAACATAGCTCCCCGCCTGATACGTGCCCAGGGCCAGCTTTTCGCCCCGGCTCCGTGTTCGATGTCCCTGCTTGGGTCACCGCGGTGGTTGCTAAGTGGACGGGGGATTCAGCACAGGATGCTAAGGTGAATTGCATCTGGCTGAACCCAGGTTATAAGTGGGCTACAAGTGCCCCAAATGGCCTGAGTGAGTTCGACAACTCCGCAACGTGGGCGGAGCCCCCGTAGCTCAGATCTTTACCCCCCCTGAGACACTTGGGGCACTTCTGACTCACTCGCAAGCCATTCTCGGCTATGCACAACAAGCCACCGCGGCATCCGCGGATATCACCTCTCCACCTCCTTTGGCAACCCCCGCGGTCCTCCAAGCTGGGGCCCGAAAACAGGCCCCAGAGGCCGAAACCTGGGACAGGCGCAGGGAGCGAACACTTCTGCGGCCGAGGCCTCTTGCTGAGGGTGCCGCCGCGGCGGCCGGGCGACACGCTGGCCCTTGCGGCATGACGGCGCGGCGCCCGGGGACGGCTCGGGACTTGGACTTCGGTCGGGCCTGTCCCCCTGCAGGCGGATTTTGGGCGAACAATTTGAAAAAATGCTCGAATACCCCCCAAAAATAGCCAACCATAGTGCTAACAAACATCGTCCCCAAACTATGTTTGGACTATTTTTGAGTTTTCCTCTTGCAGAAGGGCACGCTCGACTTAAGACTTGGACGCCCGAGGACTGGGAAATGGATGGCGTCTCGCGCCGCAGCGCGGCGGGCCAGAACCGGCGGCGCGACACGCCGGGCCAACACTCCTGACGCTGGCGTCGGAGATCGAGCCAGCTGCACGCGAGAGCGATCCTGGGCGAGAGTGGCTGACCCTTGGTTTAGGTCGGGCGTGTCCTCCTACAGGGGGATTGTGGGCGGAAAACAAATTCACATACTTAAGACATGTCAAACCATACTCAAAACAACTCAAAATACAAGCAACATTGTCCCCATACGATTCCTCGCTG